CTGGGCAGCCAAGGATGCGACCTCCTGTGTTGGTGGGTGACCCCCTCCCTGCATGGACTGCCCAGGCCTTTCCGGTTTGGGGGAGCACCTCGGCTAGTCCCAGGAGGGTGCGTGTGTGTGTGTGAGAGAGAGGGAGAGCAAAGCACTCTGTGTGTTTGCACGCATGGGTGCGTGTTGAGGGGGCATTTGATTGTGTCGGGGGGCACCGTAGGTATGTTTGCATTTGCATAAGGCAGGGCGCTGCGTGCACGTATCCATGCGGGTGTATGGGAGTACATGGGGGGAGGAGCATGGGCTGGGGGGGCACCAAAAGGTGTTTGCGTGTGTGTGGAGCAGCACGTGTGTGTGTGTGCACAGTGAGGTGGCTTGCCTGGGGAAGGCGCTATCCGGGGGCATGCGTGAGGGACTGAGCTGTAAGCATGACGCAGGCGTGTGTCTGCGGGCTCCACATACTTGCATCAGCCTGCGGTTGCAAGTCGGGGAGATAAGGAGGCGGGTGAACTCACCGACACGTAGACAGCGGCGAAGGCTGAGAGCGTTGCATGCTGGGACGGGAACGTCTTCCTGCAAAAGGGAAACAAAGGACAGCTCGAGCAGCCTGGGCTAGTGCTGGCAGGGACCCGGCTGCGGCACAGTGAGCGGGCAGAGCCCAGCGTGGTACATGCAGCGGGGCCCCGGCAGGGGTGCGGGTGAGAAGAGACGGCCTCAGGCTCCCTTCCTTGGGGACCATCGGGGGCAGAGTCCCTCAAGCCGAGCCCTTTGGCCCCGGACTGCACGGGACGTACCTGGCAGAGAGAATCGCATTCTGGTCCTGGCCCGAGCAGATGTCCTGGGTGATGTAAGGGTTGGAGTCGCAGGAGATCCCCAGCAACGTGTAGTTGGGCTTGCAGACGGTCAGGAAAAAGGGGGCGTGGTAGCCAGTGGCCAGCTGGATCACGTCCGTCACCAGGGCGGTGGCACAGAGTCCGAACACGTGGACCCCTGGGGGCATCACGGGCGGGTCACGGGTTAGAGCCTTGGCCACCGGGGAGTCACAGATGTTCTTCTGCCCCCT